TGCTTTCTTTGATGAGTAGTTCATTTTGTTGACTCGAGATTCAACTCTGTTTGGGCTGGTGGGTGCGTGCCTGTCGGAACTGCTGATCAACTGGAAGCTCTACGACAACAGCGTATGGCATTGGGTGCTTGCTTTCTTTGATGAGTAGTTCATTTTGTTGACTCGAGATTCAACTCTGTTTGGGCTGGTGGGTGCGTGCCTGTCGGAACTGCTGATCAACTGGAAGCTCTACGAGAACAGGGTATGGCATTGGGTGCTTGCTTTCTTTGATGAGTAGTTCACTTTGTTGACTCGAGATTCAACTCTGTTTGGGCTGGTGGGTGCGTGCCTGTCGGAACTGCTGATCAACTGGAAGCTCTACGACAACAGGGTATGGCATTGGGTGCTTGCTTTCTTTGATGAGTAGTTCATTTTGTTGACTCGAGATTCAACTCTGTTTGGGCTGGTGGGTGCGTGCCTGTCGGAACTGCTGATCAACTGGAAGCTCTACGACAACAGGGTATGGCATTGGGTGCTTGCTTTCTTTGATGAGTAGTTCATTTTGTTGACTCGAGATTCAACTCTGTTTGGGCTGGTGGGTGCGTGCCTGTCGGAACTGCTGATCAACTGGAAGCTCTACGACAACAGGGTATGGCATTGGGTGCTTGCTTTCTTTGATGAGTAGTTCATTTTGTTGACTCGAGATTCAACTCTGTTTGGGCTGGTGGGTGCGTGCCTGTCGGAACTGCTGATCAACTGGAAGCTCTACGACAACAGGGTATGGCATTGGGTGCTTGCTTTCTTTGATGAGTAGTTCATTTTGTTGACTCGAGATTCAACTCTGTTTGGGCTGGTGGGTGCGTGCCTGTCGGAACTGCTGATCAACTGGAAGCTCTACGACAACAGGGTATGGCATTGGGTGCTTGCTTTCTTTGATGAGTAGTTCATTTTGTTGACTCGAGATTCAACTCTGTTTGGGCTGGTGGGTGCGTGCCTGTCGGAACTGCTGATCAACTGGAAGCTCTACGACAACAGGGTATGGCATTGGGTGCTTGCTTTCTTTGATGAGTAGTTCATTTTGTTGACTCGAGATTCAACTCTGTTTGGGCTGGTGGGTGCATGCCTGTCGGAACTGCTGATCAACTGGAAGCTCTACGACAACAGGGTATGGCATTGGGTGCTTGCTTTCTTTGATGAGTAGTTCATTTTGTTGACTCGAGATTCAACTCTGTTTGGGCTGGTGGGTGCGTGCCTGTCGGAACTGCTGATCAACTGGAAGCTCTACGACAACAGGGTATGGCATTGGGTGCTTGCTTTCTTTGATGAGTAGTTCATTTTGTTGACTCGAGATTCAACTCTGTTTGGGCTGGTGGGTGCGTGCCTGTCGGAACTGCTGATCAACTGGAAGCTCTACGAGAACAGGGTATGGCATTGGGTGCTTGCTTTCTTTGATGAGTAGTTCATTTTGTTGACTCGAGATTCAACTCTGTTTGGGCTGGTGGGTGCGTGCCTGTCGGAACTGCTGATCAACTGGAAGCTCTACGACAACAGGGTATGGCATTGGGTGCTTGCTTTCTTTGATGAGTAGTTCATTTTGTTGACTCGAGATTCAACTCTGTTTGGGCTGGTGGGTGCGTGCCTGTCGGAACTGCTGATCAACTGGAAGCTCTACGACAACAGCGTATGGCATTGGGTGCTTGCTTTCTTTGATGAGTAGTTCATTTTGTTGACTCGAGATTCAACTCTGTTTGGGCTGGTGGGTGCGTGCCTGTCGGAACTGCTGATCAACTGGAAGCTCTACGAGAACAGGGTATGGCATTGGGTGCTTGCTTTCTTTGATGAGTAGTTCACTTTGTTGACTCGAGATTCAACTCTGTTTGGGCTGGTGGGTGCGTGCCTGTCGGAACTGCTGATCAACTGGAAGCTCTACGACAACAGGGTATGGCATTGGGTGCTTGCTTTCTTTGATGAGTAGTTCATTTTGTTGACTCGAGATTCAACTCTGTTTGGGCTGGTGGGTGCGTGCCTGTCGGAACTGCTGATCAACTGGAAGCTCTACGACAACAGGGTATGGCATTGGGTGCTTGCTTTCTTTGATGAGTAGTTCATTTTGTTGACTCGAGATTCAACTCTGTTTGGGCTGGTGGGTGCGTGCCTGTCGGAACTGCTGATCAACTGGAAGCTCTACGACAACAGGGTATGGCATTGGGTGCTTGCTTTCTTTGATGAGTAGTTCATTTTGTTGACTCGAGATTCAACTCTGTTTGGGCTGGTGGGTGCGTGCCTGTCGGAACTGCTGATCAACTGGAAGCTCTACGACAACAGGGTATGGCATTGGGTGCTTGCTTTCTTTGATGAGTAGTTCATTTTGTTGACTCGAGATTCAACTCTGTTTGGGCTGGTGGGTGCGTGCCTGTCGGAACTGCTGATCAACTGGAAGCTCTACGACAACAGGGTATGGCATTGGGTGCTTGCTTTCTTTGATGAGTAGTTCATTTTGTTGACTCGAGATTCAACTCTGTTTGGGCTGGTGGGTGCGTGCCTGTCGGAACTGCTGATCAACTGGAAGCTCTACGACAACAGGGTATGGCATTGGGTGCTTGCTTTCTTTGATGAGTAGTTCATTTTGTTGACTCGAGATTCAACTCTGTTTGGGCTGGTGGGTGCATGCCTGTCGGAACTGCTGATCAACTGGAAGCTCTACGACAACAGGGTATGGCATTGGGTGCTTGCTTTCTTTGATGAGTAGTTCATTTTGTTGACTCGAGATTCAACTCTGTTTGGGCTGGTGGGTGCGTGCCTGTCGGAACTGCTGATCAACTGGAAGCTCTACGACAACAGGGTATGGCATTGGGTGCTTGCTTTCTTTGATGAGTAGTTCATTTTGTTGACTCGAGATTCAACTCTGTTTGGGCTGGTGGGTGCGTGCCTGTCGGAACTGCTGATCAACTGGAAGCTCTACGAGAACAGGGTATGGCATTGGGTGCTTGCTTTCTTTGATGAGTAGTTCATTTGTTTAGGCGAGCTGCACTCTAGAAAAAATCTTTGGCAAGTGATAGTCAGTAGTAAAAAGTTTGACCCTGTTAAAAACCAAGAATCTGAAAACCGAACTCTTATTCCACTATAGGATTAAAACGCGAACATGTTTCGGTCGACTGGGACAGGCCCCAAGTCAAGCCTTCATCAGCGCAAGCAGAATGGAAGACAAGAGTGGGAACGAAGCCTTTAAGTAAGAACTACGTTTCGAGAAACCAAAATCTAGGCGCGTAACAACCGTGGCTGATATCTGGGCAGCCAATCCAAAGCACCCTGGAAAGAACCGAGGGGCTCGGGTCTTCATTCCTTGAGGCGTAACGTGGAATTCTCATTCTTCGCCAACTGTAGCTTCGGGAGCCTCGCGCGAACAAGTTACTTTTGCAAGTTACACCCAGCTTTCCAAGCAACAAACATTCTCTCTGTATAAAATCTGCGTGAAAGTAATCTAGTTTTGAGACGTTTCAAAACTACCCCTAGCCCGAGCCGAGCTGACACAGGTGTGTAGGTCGTCTTCAAGACTAGGGGTCCGCGTGTAGAGGGGAGAGAGGTGTGTCGCAAAAGCTGGTTCGCGAGAGTGTCGGCGAGGAGTGGTGCACGATGTGCGAATAGGACGCCCTTGAAGATCGGTCGAAGGAAAACAGGGGGGTAACCACGATCACGAAGGCGTTGGAAGAAGGCGTGTTTCGTTGCTAGGAAAGTTGACACCGAGGTCGAGCGTAGCAGGTAACGCTTCAGTTCGGCGCAGATGAAACTATCCTTGCAGTGCCGTGGGTGGAAGGAGGAGAAGGGGAGATAGAGGTACCTATTCATCGGCTTCTGAAAAGTACCGAAGTCTAGGATACCACGCTCAGTAAAACGTGGCCCTTTGTGGAGGACCATGTCCAGAAAGTCAACCGAACGATCCGAGATGTTCCACGTGATCCTGATATTCGGATCCAAGCCGTTGAAGGTGCGCAGGTACTCCTCTAAATCTGACCGCGACCCTGGCCAAATGATAAGGCCATCATCGATGTAACGGACGTGGTAACAAGGTGACACCCCGGTCCACCTCTCCTTTAACAGCTCATCGAGACGGCTCATGAAGAGTATGGCAAAACACACTTCTACAGGAGTTCCCATTGCAGTGCCCTGCACTTGATGAAACACTTCGCCGTCGAACTCTACGTAGGAGTTCCTCATGACCCAACCCAGTAGAGCCATAAGCGGTTGAGATAGCTGCGTGTTGTCTCTCGTCAAAAAACTGCTAACTGCGTCAAGTCCTCGATCTATAGCTATGCTGGGGTAGAGCGAGGTCACGTCGTACGTCGCTAGGAGAATGTAAGGCGGAAAGGCTGTAGTCTGCAGCTTCGCTAGCAGTGAGAGAGAATCGCGCAGGTAGGTGGCTCGTTTTAGGACTAGCGGTCTTAGTTGCAAATCCAGCCAACGACTCGCATTAGTAGTTACCCATGAGTGTGAAGGTTTGACTTGGGGCCGTTCCCAGTCGACCGAAACATGTTCGCGTTTTAATCCTTTAGTGGAATACGAGTTCGGTTTTCAGATTCTTGGTTTTTAACAGGGTCAAACTTTTTACTACTCACTATCACTTGCTAAAGATTTTTTCTAGAGTGCAGCTCGCCTAAACAAAGCTTCTATGGCGGATGGTATGAAACTTGGGTTCAGTTACCAGGGTATAGAATCTCCATAGATTGGACTCGCCTACTTAACTTCTTTGCTCAGCGAGCTGTATCCGCTGACTCACCCAGTGTATCTGCTGACTGACTCAGAGTACCTGCTGACTCACCCAGTGTATCTGCTGATTCACCCTGTGTATCTGCTGACTCACCCTGTGTATTGCTGATTCACCCTGTGTATCTGCTGACTCACCAAGTGTATCTGCTGATTCACCCTGTGTATCTGCTGACTCACCCTGTGTATCTGCTGACTCACCCTGTGTATCTGCTGACTCACCTTGTGTATCTGCTGACTCACCCTGTGTATCTGCTGACTCACCCAGTGTATCTAGTGAACCGCTCGGGCCCCACGATCTCAATCGTCTCGTTGTTCTCCATGGCGGGCAGGAAAAGCATTCCCACGATGAGCTCCGGGCAGATGACGAAACGAATCTCCTCCTGCGCGCACCCCGAGCCGAGCGTGCCGCCGCCCACAAAGGCATTGGCGAAGTCCACCTGCACACAGCCCGTGCCGTCGTCCTCTATTGTGCCGCGCTCGTGCACCTGAAGAGGGGGAGGCAGATGGGAGGAATGGGAGGAGCGTGTGAAGTGAAGATATGTGCTGCGGCGTTTCGTCGTCCACCTACAGACAGCCCGTGCCGTCGTCCTCTATTGTGCCGCGCTCATGCACCTGGTGGTGCATGGGCACCTGGTGGTGCATGGGGGGAGAGAGGGGGAAGGGGGGTGTGTTGGGAGGGAGGAACGGGTGGAAGAGGGGTAAGGGGGAGGCCATGTGACAAAAAAAGAGCAGTGCATCAAGCAACAGGTGTGATATGATTGGAAGCACTGCACAAATGCCTTCTGTTTTTCCTCCCAAATATGCATCCTATCTCACTCACCCAAACCTGTCCCCCCACTCAACACACCTCTTATCTCCAACATCCCCCTTCACCCAGCACGCCTCTCCCCCCAACAACCCTCTCCCCTCCCCCCCCACAACGCCCTTCGCACTCACCACCAGGGCGCAGAGCGGAATCCGCCTTGTCCCCCAGAAGTCCGCGCCAGGGGGAGGGGGAAGCGTCCCCCAGCTCCCCCCGAAGCTCCTGGTGCTCCCTCCACTCCGCAACCCCCCTCCTTCCCCGCCCTTCCCCCACGACCCTCCCAGGCTCGAATCCGAGCCAGTTGTCGGACCTGAGCTTCGGTTGGAGCTGCTTTTCTGCATGGGCGAGCTTCGGGAACCACTGTGGTAACCACTACCGTAACCGTTCCCGTTACCATTACCGTTACCGTTACCGTTACCGCCGCCGTTACCACTGCCCTTACTGCCGCCATTACCGCTACCGTGCCGCCCACCCTGCCCACCACTCCCACCGCTTCCGGGCGGCGAACTACCTCCGCCTTGTCTCATGGTCCCACTTCCCCGCCCTCCACCCTCCCCTGCCTCCCCACCCCAACCCAATACATCCTGCTGCTGCTGCTGCTGCTGTTGCTTTAGGTGGCCTGGTGTGTCAGTACCGGGGGTGTTGAACGGGTGGAGGGTCGGCGGGGCGGCAGCAGCGGGTGTGACAGTGGCGGGTGTGACAGCAGTGAGCGGCAGCACCTTGCGCTCGTAGGAGACGGCGCCCTGAGGCATGGAGGAGACGACTCGGCGGAAGTAGTGCAGCAGGCAGCGCAGCTTCTCTTGTTGTTGCGGCGAGCCCTCGTATATGCCGCTGAGAGGTTCGGAAAGGACGGGAATGGGGAGGGGAACGATGGGATTCTGAGGCAATCAATGCTCTGAGGCACGGGGAGAGGACGCGGCAGGATTGGTGCAGCAGGCAGCGCAGCTTCTCCTGCTGCTGCGGCGACTCCTCGTATATGCCCTTGGCTAGCGCAACAGATGAGGGGTTGGGCAAACGGAGAGAGCGGATAGAAAGAGGGGTGAGAGGGTGGAGACTCACCCATAGAGGCGGTCGAAGTTGATCTCTGGTAGTCTCTCCTGCGCGCGCCCGGCCGTGGGATACACGCAGAAGAACGCGCCCACCAATAGCGCCGCAGCAAGCTCCTGCGTTATAAGCACAAGCCCCGGCTGCTGCGGCCTCAGCAGCTGCAGCGTCATCTGCGTCCCCCTCCGCCACTTCTCACTCCCCCCGCTCCCGCTTCCGCTTCCGCTTCCGCCGCTTCCGCTCCCCCCGCTGCTGCCGGATTGCGCTGCGGCTTGGGCTGCCCGAGCCACGCTCCGAGCCTGCTGGGAGACGAGGCTCGGGAGACGGAGAGCGAGCGAGGCCATTCCGGGCAGCGTGAAGAAGAAAAACTCCTGAGATTCCTCCTCGGAGAGAATCTGCAGGTACGTTTGGGGCGAGAGGGGTTAAGGGGACAGGGAGGAGAGGGATGAGAATAGCGTTCAAGCAGCGAGGGTTGACATGAATAGACTCGAAGGGACGTTGGCAAATGCACATTTCCACATTCCTGATTCGACTTGAAAACACCCGCGTACCAGACGAGGTTGTTGAACTCACCTCGTCGAAGAATTCAGCGAGGCCTTTCGCGAGCCGAGGGTTACCATCGCTGAGACTCAGCTCCCTGCGAATGTCGATTATCGCGTCGGCTAACGTCTCGACACTCGCCACCTGCGGCGCGGACAGGGAGACACCGGAGATGTAGAACACGAGTATGAGAGCACGCGTGAAATAACGCAGGAAACTGGAGTTTGGACAAACTTCGTGAAACAACCAGCGCAAGCTGATGCTGATTCCAGCAAGCGCACCTGGCTAGCAGCGGGGCCACGCGCAATGGCGGCGAACGCATGAGCGACGGTCCCGGGCCACGCATACTCTCTCCGCGTGCTGCTCACGCTCGCACTGTTGTTGTTATTGTTGTTCGTCTGATTGTTGTTATCTTTCGCTGGCTGGTTACTGCTGTCAATCACTCCCGTCGCGTACAGCCGCGACGCCGCTGTGTTCGCCGCATCCGTGTTAAACCCCGCCGGGCCGGCACCGCTGAAGCCGTAGCTCGTGCCTGCGCCGGCAACACCACCGGCGGCAACGCCGGTTGTAACGCCGGCTTCGCGGCTCCCGCCGAATCCCGCGTCCGACGGTAGCGTGCTCAGGCTCGGTGCGGGGCCGAAGGGGAGGAAATACGAGAGATCTCTCTTTTCAGGAAACATGGCGGAATGCGTAGCTATGGAAGGGAAAGCTTTATACTGGAAAGATTTGAAAAGCTTGTTATGGCGAGCTTCATCGAGAAAACCAATGGAGGTTACGACGGAAAGACGTATTATGGGGTGTGATGAGGGAGTTGAAATTTGGTAACCCAGCGAAAGCTTCGTTTTGAAACGTCCTTGAAAAAATGGAGAGCGATCAGTGTCGGAAGAAAGACTAAGTGCAGAGATTATTAACTACACTATGATCAGCCCTAATCAAGGATATTCAAGGCAAGCAATCCACACTTTGACGCCTTTTGCATCGATCAATCGACAATAAGCGTTCAAGCAAAGACTGCTAACAAGAGAGCCAAGTTAATGCGAGTCAAAGGAAAGACAGCTTCATCTGGGTTTGTCTGCAGACCATGTAGGAAACCCTCATTGGAACCTCGGAAACGCTGATGTGCTGCTGCAGGGAGCAGACTGTTTGATGTGGGCTCTTTGGAATGTCTTGAAGATCAGAAGGAAACGAGATCCCTGAATGGAAGGTGAGAGTGACAGGAGGAGGAAAGAAAGCGATGAGGAGGGAAGAAAAAGGTAAAGAAAGTGGATGTGCGGATTGGTGGTTATCGTTGATGAAGAAATCTCAACAGCTGTGCACCAATCGCGGACAGTGCGGGCCGATCGAAAAAGGTCATCCAGGTCACATGAAAGTATCGGATGAGAGATCTACGCCGGCTTTTGTGTGTCAAGAAAGTGAAAAAGTGCAATGAAAAGCGCATCTGCTTGGTCCCAACCATGAGATATTTCCGACGTGTGCCACGTCACCTGTCAGCTATTTTCCACGTCCCGTAGCAAACAGCAGGGCGCAGTTGGGCATCTAAACTATTTATCTTTATGTACTCGGAATGAAGTTCCTCGTTTTTATACACGTCGAAAGTGCCGTTGAATCCATGTCCATATTCTATATCTGTATGTGCAGGGTCTCACTATTTATTGTACAACTATTCCTCCTAGTGTAACACTTACATTATGTCAGTTACGTGTACATGATCGCGGATGTCAGGTTCGCTTGTGTCACCTCGCTGGTGGTCGGTCGGTGTGGAACATATGTGTTGGAATTCAGTGACTGGTCGAAGCGATGCGCACAAGGTGTCACAGAAAGCGTTCGCAAGGCTGAGGGGGGACTAGACCAGCTCGGTCGCGGAAGCGGGGACTGCCGTGACTGCGCACGGCACCGCTCTGCGCCTCCCTTTTTCCACCAAGGGGAACAAAACACAGCCCTTGGCGGAAGAATGGACAGCTTTTGCGCGGAATCTCCGGAAGTTGCAGCTGACATTGGTGAAGCAAGGCGGAGGATTACAGACAAAAACATTTCAAGCCCAGCCCGCGCGGAAACATCTGCAGAATCGCCTCTTTTCCGCCGTCTTTCAGCTAACGCACTTTGTGAAATGAGCGGAAAGTATGGGTTTGTGGGAGCATGGCGGAAACTTGTACAGTTCACAAATACAATGGAGGTGAATCTTCTCGGCATTCTCTAGGACAAGCTACAGCACCCATTCCCATTTGTCGGTCCTTTTGTCAGGGAGATGACACCCTGTAACAGCTCAAGGTGACCTATAATGTTGGTTCTGATCTGATGTGAGCTATTGGGTAGCTTGAGCTTTTGGTCTAACGATGATTGGTTCTGTCCCTAACTTCAGTTCCTCTCATCTCTCTTGACCGCTTGTTGGCGGAATCACTTGCTATACGCGCCGCTCCTCCTACTTGTAGGACAATCTTAAAGAATCGATTACCGCGTAGTTAAGCATCCGCTTATCGTCCGCTTCGTTCTCTTAGAACCCATTGTCTGGATTATTTCGCAATGAGTCGCATAGTAGGTCGCGGAGGCTCAGATCCTTATTCGAGCGACGTCGAGATGCCGTCGTCTACGAGCCTCCGCTCCTCCTCCTCTCTCTCCTCCACTCCCTCCGCTCCGCTCGCTCACTCGCGCTCCGGCGAATACCCGTACGCTCCTTCCCATCCCGCCATCGTATCATCTCATAACGAGTACGCTGACGACAGACACTCCGCGTATCATCAAGGGGGTCAGTTCCACTCGTACGCATCTGGCAGTACGATCGTACCGTACGCGTACCCTCCTCCTCCTCCGCCTGAATACCCCTCCGGAATCAACCCAGCAGCGTACCCCCCTGTTGTTCCACCTTCAAACCCTCGGGATCCTTCTCGGAAACCGCGGTGGTATAGGAAGGTGCCATGGCTGGCGCTGACCGTATTAATCGCCTGCATAGTAGTCTTTATTGTGACCATGGCGGTGAATGATTGCCCGTCGAAGCCGCACCCGCAAGGCCAGAGCTGCGTGCTGCCTTGGCTGGGTCGCTTCTCCTTCGAGCCGCTTAATATCAACCCTCTCTTCGGTCCAACCGCCTTAACGTAAGCGACCTGTGACTTACCACCCTACCCCCTCCTCCTCCCTCCCCCACAAACCCCCCACCCCACCCCTTCCCCCTCCCCCGCCACCCTCTTCCCCTCTAGCCCGGTCTTTGCTCTTTCGAGTATATCACTCAGACGTCTCTAATGGGTGTTTCGAAGCTGATTATTGCGCGTCTGTCGCGTATCCGTCTGGATGTCGTCCTCACCTGCCGTCGTCGCAGCCCTCTAAGCTTCACAACATGGGCGCGCTCAACAGTAACCTGGTTACCAACTACGTTTGAGTCATCTAAAGAATGATTTCGCGTAAAACATGTCTTCGTCACATCCATACCCCACCATATGTGTGACCTCCCGTCGTCGTCGCAACCCTCCAGGCTTCAGGACATGGGCGCGCTGAACAGTAACCTGGTTACCAACTACCACCAAGGCTGGCGGCTGGTAACGGCCATGTGGTTACACGGCGGCGTGGTGCATCTCGTGTGTAACCTCCTCGGCATCGCCTTCCTGCTCAACCGCCTCGAGAAGGAGTTCGGGCTGTGTACGTGCGTGGTGTGGTGTGGTGTGGTGCGGTGTAGTGGTGGTGTGGTGGTATGGCGTAAGGCGGGATGGTTGGGGGAAAGGGGATGGTTGTGTGGTAGAGGTAGTTAATTGGGTGGGGAAGGGGGGAGGGGGGGGGGGAAGCGGGGGGAAGGGGGGGGAAGAGGGGGGCCTGGAGGGGTGCGAATCAACGGGCGAGGAGGGGATTGAGGGGAAATTTATGGGGGGAGGGCTTGGTGCGCACGTAGGTGCGGGGAGGGGAGGAGGGATAGATTCAGGTTCTCGAAGCACATATGATCCTTCAATTCGTGTAACAGCAAACATTCACCATGCTGCATACTCTGTGCCCCTTTGCGCCATGCTCCCTCTGCTGTCCGCTCCGTGATCATTCATGTGCTTTCTCTCTTCGAGGGGCGTAATGTAAAGTCGCTTTGCTGTCTGCTCCGTGTACTCTCCTGTGCTTCTCCGTGGCAGGGCGACCGACGGCCATCTACCTTCTCAGTGGTGTCTTTGCTGCCGTCTTCTCATGCCTCTTTCTCGACACACAGGTACGACCACGCCCAGCTATGGCTTGAAAAAACTTTAAACAGATGAGAAATCCACCTAAACACCGCAGTGCAGGGACTCTGTAATATGCGCCCCTCTCCTCCCTGCGTCAATAGTCATTTTGCTCCTACAAGTGACGCCAGCGAATGCTTCATATCAAATTCAGAGAAGGTGCTTGTGTGGATCATTCTCCCTTGTTTTCCTTGTTCATCCCCCCCCCTCACCCCTTCTCTCCCCCTTCTACCCACCCACCCACCCAACCTCACCCCTTCTCAATTCTCTGATTTTACCTGGAATCAACATTGATTCCCTGCCGTCAGATCAGTGTGGGTGCATCTGGAGCCTTGTTTGGGCTAGTGGGTGCGTGCCTGTCGGAACTGCTGATCAACTGGAAGCTCTACGACAACAGGGTATGGCCTTGGCTTGGGTTGCTTGCTTGCATGCATGGGTTGACGAGAGGATGGGGTTAGTTTTCTCTTTCCAACTCCCTCTTTCCAACTCCCTATTTCCCACCCCTCCAGCTACCCACTCTCTCTTCAATCCACCCCACTCCCCCGCCCCGGTGGTCCCTCCCCCTTCTCTCCCCCTCAGTTCTCAGGCCTGATGACGCTGCTCATCCTCATAGCCATCAATCTCGCCATCTGCCTCATGCCATACATCGACAACTCCTGGTTCTCCCTCTGCCCCCCTTCTCTCCTCCCTCTGTCCCCATACCCTCCCCCTCAGTTCTCAGCCTTGATGACGCTGCTCATCCTCATAGCCATCAACCTAGCCATAGGCCTCATGCCCTACATCGACAATTTCGCCCACATAGGCGGCTGCATCGCCGGCTTCTTCCTCGGATTCGCCCTGCTGCTCAAACCCCAACACGGCTTCATCGTCCTCCGAGACAGCTCTGGCGTGGCAACGGCAACGGCGATTGCGGTGTCGGGAGGGGACCCGGTGACTAAGAAGCATTCCACCTGCCAGGTCTACACGCGGATTCTCTCAGGATTAATCTTCATGGCTCTGTAAGTGCGATGCATTGCTGCCCTTCCCAAGGCCTGGTTGATTTCCCTGAGTGCGCTTCCATGGTCCACCCACGCCGCCTCAACTGTTTTCCCCTGGGTCTTACTTATCTTGCGTCTCCCTCCCAATCTTCACCCTGCTGCTCGCCCATTGTCATTCTCACTCGCCCTACCTCAAGCCCTCCACCTCTCTCAATGGCGACCTGTCTGTCTGCTCGCAGTATCGCAGGCTGCAGGGTGGTGCTCGTTCATGCAGGGCTTGCCATGTTGGCAACATGGCTGCTGGCACGCGTTCCCCTTTCCCACTGCTGCCTCCTCATCCTTTTCACTCCCTCATCAGCTGCCAACCCACCCATGTCTGCTGCTTCATCTTTTTCCCTCCCCACCATCAGCTTCTCGCTCTGCATGGCGGTGCTATTCACCAAGGGCAACGTAGCTGGGGACTGCACGTGGTGTCGCTACATGTCGTGCGTGCCCACTCCTTGGTGGACCTGCGACCCCAATGCCCCAGGCACACAGGGCCAAGGGCCTGTTTGCCAGGTCAGCTTTCACTCTCATCCTTGCCTGGCACTGCTCCTTCTCTTGTTCCTTTCCTGCTTGCGATACCCGATGTTGCTGGCCTGCGTTGTATGAGTTTTACTTTCTTTATTTAACTTTTGGTGGTGATTTTTTTCCGCTTGTGCAGGTCCGGTCGTATCAAAATGGCACTGGTGCGCTGGTGTGTACGAATCAGACAATGCTTGCCGTACCAAACATCACATCATTGGCCAATTATGACCTGCGGGTGCTATGCACACAAGCGTGCAGCAGCTGAGGCCCTGGTAAAAGGCCGCCCTTTTGGAGTATCCTGTATTTTGAAGGTTTCTGTTAATATTATGCTTATTTCGTGTAAGCTGTAACCTTTCTCATCCGGTTTTTGTTGAGCATTTGTATTTTTTGGTGTCTTAGTGCTTCTGCGCAAAGAATTTATGGAACAGGAAACTGGTCTAAGGAATGTCAGCTTTGATACGCAACAGAAAGTTTAGGTCTGCGATTCTCGGTACAATAACGAATCGCTTTACAGAGTGGGACCCTTGGGATAATTCTGAGCACTCTCAGAAGCGATGGTCTCGCAGTCTCTCTCAATGGATGTCTCCGTGTAATCAGGGTACTCTCCTCGGCTCCTGTGTCGCCTCTCCAAGCTTTTCAACACGGTACCGGAGAAGACTGCCGACACCCTCTATCATTGTCGCGCGAGGACTTGTTCGCAAGGTTTAGACTGAATACGGAGGGCTCATTGGTTCGCGTCTACCTAGGACTCATCGCATGCTCTCCTGCATCGTACCGTTATCTTTAAGGCTCAACGGGAATCACGTTCTGTAGCTGAACGTTCTAGCTCGTAAATGCTGCTATGGCGTGATGGCCGGTAGTTTCGTTGGCACTAACCTCTCTAACTGACGGTTTCAGGTCTTCCACGAAGCTCTATGGCGTGATGGCCTGCAGTCTCGCAGGCGCCATGAAGCAGCGTCGAGGGTCAGGGGAGCTCTCGCAGCAGCGCCGGCGGAGGCAGAGCGGAAAGAAGCACGCGCACCTGCGGGACAATCTCCCCCTCTTCGCGCTCTTTCTCTGCGCCGTTGCCTTGCGCTTGCTTTTTCTGGCGCGAGAATTCCTCTCTGCGCACGAGTTTGCGCTTTCGGGGGAGATATTTTCCAGCTGGTGGCCTCTCTCGAGTGGTTCCGGTAGCGGAGCTGCTGAAGACCTTTCATTTTCCAACATTCACCTGCACAATGTGGCAATCGTAGGCACCGAGATTCACTTTTATGGCATCAACGAGGCTCGGTGGCGTCCGACCTTGGAGAGCAGGCTAGTGCCGTACCGGCATTTGGTGGAATGGGGAGAGAAGCAGAGTCCTAACTGGACATTAGTGTTCCACAACAGCACACTGGACGTTAAACGGAGTTGCAAGCAGCGGGTTGATGCTCCCACTGGTGAGTTCAACGGGGTCCCACCACAACGGCTTGTATTCATGCTCCCCTTCCTCCCATGGTCCCATCGAGAAGACCAATGGAGGTTACGACGGAAAGACGTATTATGGGGTGTGATGAGGGAGTTGAAATTTGGTAACCCAGCGAAAGTTTCGTCGGCCCAAGAAGCGTCAGAGTGTCCTGTGAGGACCACTGAACTCTGTCCTCCAAGCACGAGCCCCATGCCCGATGTACTGCACAAGTAACGTAGTACCTTCTTCGCAGCATCCCAGTGCACCTTTCGGTGTCGACCGGGAGCCACGTAGCGAGCCAGAAGGCTGTGAGGGTACGCGAGGTCAGGTCGCGTGCAAGTCATCAGGTACATGAGGCAACCCACAAGCTCTGGGTACGGACCACTCGGCTCTACGGACTCGTCCGAAGGTGGAGCTGAGAGTGAGTGGCCAGTAGACAGAGGAGTGGGCTGTGTCGAGGAGAACTGGAAACCGAAGCGCTAAAGGACCTGGTGCACCATGCGTGACTGAGTCAGGGTGATGGTGCACCGCTGCGTAGCCTGGTCGTCAACCCAAGAGGCGTCCGAGTGACCAGTGAGGACAACGTCACCCCGTCCTCCAAGCACGAGCCCCATGCCCGATGTACTGCACAATGTGCAGTACCCTCTTAGCAGCATCCATGTGCACCTTTCGGTGCCGATCAGGAGCCACGTGGCGAGCCAGAAGGCCAAGAGGGTACGCAAGGTCAGGACGAGTGCAAGTCATCAGGTACATGAGGCAGCCCACTAGCTCTGGGTAAGGACCACTCGGCTCTACGGACTCGTCCGAAGGTGGAGCTGAGAGAGAGTGACCTGTAGCCAGAGGAGTGGCCTGTGCTGAGGACCGGTGAAGCCGAAGCGCTGAAGGACCTGCTGCACCATGTGTGACTGAGTCAGTGTGATGGTGCGGCGTGCTCTGTCCCGGGTGATCTGCAAGCCAAGATAGCTCCGCAGCTCACCCAGGTCAGTGCAGATGTGTCTCTCCTGCAGCTCCGCCTTCACTAGGGCCAGTGCCTCCGTGTCAGCAGTAGCAAAAACCAAGTCGTCGACATACACGAGAACGTAGAACGGCAGCAGGGTAGTGTCGGTGCGCAAAAACAGCGACGGGTCAGCAGTGGAAGGAGCAAACCCAAGAGCTGCAAGAGTCGTCCTCAGTGTGTCGTGCCACTCGCGAAGGGCCTGACGCAGGCCGTAAACTGGTCGCCGTAGGCTCCACTCGGTACCCTCAGGAAACGACCCAGTGAAGCCAGGTGGACGGCGCAGCCAGATGGCCTCGTGAAGGCTACCATGCAAGAAAGCTGTGGAGAAGTCGAGAGAGTGCAGCTCGTAGTCATGCTGAGCTGCAACGTGTAGCAACACCCGAAGAGTGGTCATCTTCGGGGTAGGGGAGAAGGTCTGGAAGAAGTCGACCCCCTCACGCTGACTGAAGCCTCGAGCAACGTAACGCGCCTTGAAGGCATGCGGAGAACCCGGCGGCCGCTTCACCCAGAAAATCCACATGCCACTGACGATGTTCGCCCCAGGTGGGGGAACCTCGTCGACGTAGGTGCCTGTAGACTTCCGGGAAGCCATCTCTGCGTCCATGGCTGTCTGCCACTGAGAGGAGTACTCACCCGAGATCGCCTCTCTGTAAGAGCGCGAGGTAGGGATGTCAAGTGCATCCGGGTCTCCCTCAGGGGCAAGCAGCATAGTCGCGAGATGAGGAGAAGCGGCCGCAAGACACTCCAGCTCCTCCTGCCTGTCCTCAAGAACGTCACAGCCAATGGCAACCTCACCCCCGACGGACGGAGGACAGGCAGGGGCAGGGTCAGAAACAAGACTCGCAAGATAGTCTAGGCGGTACACAGCAGCAAAGTCAACGAGCTCAGCGACTAAGGCAGACGCAGCAGGAGACGAGAGCGTAGGGTCCGTCACAACCGTAGCAAGAAAATGAGTAACAGCTGGACTAGAGGCACGAGCAAGGTTAGACGGAGGGTCAGCAACAGCAGGAAGAGAAGACGCAGGAGGTGACGGCAGGACAACGCGCTGTGGAACAGAGGAAGGATGGAGTGTCATATCGTGAGTGCCTGGGACAGCCGGAGCACGAGAACGACGAACACGAGGAACACGAGCACGAACAGAAGCTCTAGTCTGAGGCTCTCGACGCTTAGGAGTGGAAGCACGAGTGTCAGGCTCTCGACGCTCAGGAGTGGAAGCACGAGTCTCAGGCTCTCGACGCTCAGTCAGGGACTCTGGGATAGCAGTGTAAGGAGCAGGAGCAGGTAGTGGGGAGTGAGGCAGAAGCTGTGGGAACAGTAACGGAGGATTAGTACCAGCGACTGGGAACTCAGTAGGAGCTGGCGGAAGACCGAGAAGGTGGCGAAGCGCACCAGCAGGTCTAGTACCTCCAGTACCAGCAGGACCTCCAGTACCTCCAGCAGAGGTAGCTCCAGCACGTCCAGCACCAGCAGCACCAGCAGCACCTCCAACACCTCCAGCACCTCCAACACCAGCAGCTCCAGCACCTCCAGCACCTCCAGCACCAGCAGCCCCAGCACCTCCAGTACCAGCAGAACCTCCAGCACCTCCAGCACCTCCAGCCTCGGCAGCTCCAGCACCTACAGCACCAGTTGCTCCAATACGCCCAGCACCAGCAGCACCTCCAGCACCTCCAGTAGTACCTCTAGCACCTCCAGCACTAGCAGGACCTCCAGGACCAGCACCTCCAGCACCTCCAGAACCTGCACCTCCAGTACCTTCAGGACTAGTAGCTCCAGTACCTCTAGCACCAGCAGGACTGGATCCTCTACCGCCACCAGAACTCGCAGCACCCCCAGAGTCAGCAGCCCCAGTCTCAGCACCCCCAGAACCAGCACCCCCAGTCGCAGCACCCCCAGAACCCTCACCCTCTGCCTCAGCGCCCCCAGGCTCAGCACCAGCAGTCTCAGCTCCAGAGTCCACAGCAGCAGGCTGCGGAGGCGGCGAAGACAGCCTAGGGGGAAAACCAGGGGGGGTCTCCAAGCGTGGAGAGCGGCGTGTGGGCGCCGTGTCGGCAGCGACGGGGTCACCCCCCTCAACTGGGCCAGAGGAGTCAGAAGAGATCTCGAAAGGCTCAACCAAAGGGGGTGGGTCTACCTGAGACACACCTGAGGGAGCAAGACCCTGTGGGGGGAGGGGGTCGATCGGGGGGGGGGACTTGTACCAAGAAGAGAGGTGCGAGGGGGACAGGGTGGGACGCGTGCGGGTGAAGCCTGTAGTAACAGACAGACTCGTCAAAGGTGACGTCCTGGGAGGAGAAGACTCGACGAGAGCGCGGGTGGTAGAACTACCACGGCGGGGCGTCGGTGGGGAAGCCAAGGAAGACGCAGCGAAGAGTGCGAGGGGAGAGCTTGCTTGCAGTGGTATCGCGAACAAGGGAGAGCGCGCCCCGGACCCGAAACACTGGTGCATCGCCAACCTGTCCCGTCCAACGGAGTGTGGGCGAGGTCTCTGGCAAAGAGACACGGGGCCAGAGGTTGAGCTGATGCGCAGCGTATCGGACCGCAAACGGCCACAGAAAATGGGGAGCAGCCGCATAGATCATGGAGGTATGAGCAACCTCCATGATCAAGCCAATGCGACGCTCAGCAATCCCATTTTGCTGAGGAGAGGCCGGAAGTGTGAACGACTGGCGGATGCCCTCGTCTCGACAGATGTCCGCAAGGAGGTCAGAAGAAAACTCACCGCCCCTGTCAGAGTGCAGACGCAGGACTGGCAAGTCCCGAAGAAACCGATCGCGCAGCTGGCGACGAGTAGCACGGATCCAGGGGATCAAAACACCGCTGACGTCCGCCTTGCGACGCAAGGGGAAGACAGTGGTGTAGCGTGTGTAGTCGTCAACAACCAGCAGGAAGTCGTCCGTTCCACCGACGGGGGCAGGGCCCCAAACGTCCATGTGGAGAGTCTGCAGAGGAGCAGTGGTCGGAGGAAACTCGGAGGAGTGAGGAGCGTCGCGCTGCCGCCCCTCGACGCAGGGAAGGCAGGGCGGTGCAGGCGAACGCGGGAGGGAGGGCAGGGACCTGGGAGGACCAGAGACAAGGAGACGGGAGTGCATGCTGCGGAGACGTGGCAGTGAAGGGTGACCGAGGCGGTGGTGCCAGAGGAGAGACTGGTGGGAGAGTACCCGACACGAGCAAGACGCTGCAAGCTGACCAGACGCAGACACCGGAATCGACGCAGTCACCTGACCTGACTCAGCCACCTGTGCAAACGCAGTGGTCAGTGTGTAAAGACTCAGCAAGAGGAGTTGCAGTAGCAGTGGCAGTAGGGAGCAGCAGCAGCAAGGAGCGACAGCTGCAGCAAGTAGCAGCAATAGCAAGGAGCAGCAGTCGCAGTAAGTAGCAGCAGCTGCAGCACGTAGGAGAAGGCGCACAGCAGCAGCAGCAGCAGCAGAGCACGGGCTAGGTGCGTGCAGGCAGCGTGGGCAGCAGCAGCAGCTCAGGCGCAGCAGCAGGACCACTGGCAGCAGCAGCAAGAGGAGTTGCAGCAGCAAAGGCAGCAAGGAGCAGCAGCAGCAAGGAGCAGCAGCAGCAAGGAGCGACAGCTGCAGCAAGTAGCAGCAGCAGCAAGGAGCAGCAGCTGCAGTAAGTAGCAGCAGCAGCAGCACGTAGGAGAAGGCGCACAGCAGCAGCAGCAGCAGAGCGCGGGCTGGGTGCGTGCAGGCAGCGTGGGCGGCAGCAGTAGCTCAGGCGCAGCAGCAGGACCACTGGCAGCAGCAGCAAGAGGATTTGCAGCAGCAGTGGCAGTAGGGAGCAGCAGCAGCAAGGAGCAGCAGCTGCAGTAAGTAGCAACAGCAGCAGCACGTAGGAGAAGACGCACAGCAGCAACAGCAGAGCACGGGCTGGGTGCGTGCAGGCAGCGTGGGCAGCAGCAGTAGCAGTGCACAGCAGGGCGCAGGCTGCTGGCGGGCAATACGCTAGGCAGGGCAGCAAGATTGCGGGTGGGGCAGGCAGCAGCAGCAGTTACTAGCAGCAGCAGCAGCTCTGGGCAGCAATGCGCTTAGCAGTTCGCTGAGCAGCAGCAGCAGCGCTTAGCAGCAGCATCAGTGCATGCAGCAGTAGAAACTGCAGAAGTGATAGCAGCAGCAGCAGCGCGTTCAGCAGCAGCAGTCGCGCTCAGCAGCAGCAGTAGCTCTTAGCAGCAGCACAGCATGCAGCAGTAGTATGGGTGCTTGCGCACAGCAGCAGCGCAGCAACAGCGGCAGCGCGCAGGGGCCGGGTGTGTACTCGTGTAAAGGCAGCAGCCCGCTTAGCAGCGGGCAATATGCAGGGGCGTGCGGGGCAGCACGCAGTGCGCACTGCAGGCGGGGTGCGCGAAGGCCGCGAAGGCTGCAGCAGCAGCGCATGCAGCAGTAGCAGCCACGTAAGTGACAGCAGTGCGAACGAGCAGGGCACAGGCAGGTCGCGTACGGGTCGCGCCTAGGTCAGACCCCGAAATCGCGCTAGGCAGAACGACACTAGCTAACAAACGGTCGCGATTTCGTGGGGGCGGGGCAGATCGAACGGGTAGGAGACAAGCTAACGGTGGGCCCGAACAAAAAAAAAAAAAAAGGTCCTATGGGACCTGCTCATAATACCATGTAAGACTCTACCCTAGGCTAGGTGACTAGAGTAGAGAGAAGAGTTGGTCGATTAGATTGAGGGAGGGGTACAAGTACAATGTCGAGAGATATTGTGTACCCCCTAAGGCTAAACCCACTAGAGTCTAGAGAAAGATAAACATATGATGTTTGACACTCCTACCTCATGCACGCCATCTGTGTTGTGTTGTGAGGGACTTCGTATGCTTCTTGGAAGGTTGTTTCAATTGTCTCAGGTCATTCACCTCTGTTCCACACACACCTGTGACTCACGCGTAGAACTCGAGACGAGGATGACGAAGACGCGCTACCGTATCAGTCCAGAAGTTATAGTATGGCCATAACAGTACACGCTACACCCTAAACAAGGTACGGTACTTGGGCAAATTTATAGAAAACACCCCTACAATCAGTGTGCGAAAACATTTACGGTACCCTTGTGTGGAAAGGGTGGAGGAAAAGCCATCCTGGAAGTCAGGGTGATCTCACCCTAGCACCCTGATACTTAAAGGGTGTGCTAAAACCAAAAATAGTCCCTGATTGTTATGCTCAAGTCTAGCTTCTTGCATTTGTTTTGTTCTGACTTTTCATTTGCAGTCTCTTTACTGTGCAATATTCTCTTTCATCTGCATGTAAGCGAATGTTTACATACAGCGTATAGAGATTAGATACAAGAGAATCGCAAACTGCACCCCACCGTATCTTCACGGCTCGCTAACGTATCCTTCATGGTGCTGCTGGTTGTGCTGTTTCTGTTGTCTCGTGGTCCAAATATTTCGCCTCTGCCCGCACCCCAGATATTATGTGTTCTGGTGGCGTGAAATTCCAGAATTCCTTACACAACCGTAATGTTCTGCTCATCTTTCCAGCTCGCCCCCGAAAAGCATGTGTTGAGGAAGGATAATTTCTGGGATGCTGACAGGCTGTAGAATCACATTCGATTCTCCGCTTTCTTATTGGTGAAATTTGCAGAGGCAGGGATCACATCATGAATAGTGGAGGATGTGCAACAATGAGATGAGAGCCTTACAAATGCGTCCAATGGAGTAAGCCGTAATCCGGCTGTCTGTTTGCCAGCAAGGTGCATGGGTGGAAGGCGAATGAGTCCTCGGCCGCATAAAAAGTGGACATGGTTCCGCCTGGAGTTTCTTCTTTCTGCCCCAAGCTGGCGTATGGTTGGATGCCGTTGCTGAGCTGACATCTTACGCTTCATCTTCCTCGCAACAATCACGAATATCCTTCTAGGTGTAGCCCTGCCCGCCGAGAGTATCGTCTGACAAAAGGCGACGCGAATGCTGTGCGCGTTTCACCCATGTGTTGGCCCAGCGCACAAATCCCGCACTGAAGTGCTGACCATCGAAATTACACTGCACCACCAAGGGACCATGCTGTCATAGCCACAGGCTAGGTTCGGCTGCGGTCGGGTAAACTGGTTGGTTGGCTGGCTAGATGGCAGGGCAGCCTGACCCTCTGCCCTCCTAGGGTTTCACGCTAGCTCCCGCAGCTCTGGCATTCCCCGCGCGCTTTCCCCCCGTGTTCCGCCAAGTCCGCCTCTCCTCACCCCTTCCCCTCCCATTTCCCTTCCCCCATGCTTTCCTTTCCCCCTCTCCTCCTGACTGCCCCGCGCACGGAGATTCTTCAAACCAAGGCTCTGCGCGATCTCGCTCACATCCCGATTCCCCCCTCCATCTGCCCCCGCTCCCCGCATAGCCCTTCCCTTCCCCGCGAGCCCACTCTCGTCTGCTGACCTTTACCAACCAACATCTCTCTTCTTCTCCCAAACCCTCCTGACTGACCATGTAACGACGGTTTCCCCTTCTCCAGTGTTAGACCAGCATCATCCTCAGCTCTCATATCAAGAATCTTGTTTGTTCGTGTTGAAGCGTTAGGGAGGCACCTAAGAGTAGAGCATCTGTAATAGTTCGTTTGCGTCCATGTTGAAATATACTTTTTGCTGACTACGCTTCATACTGTAGATAACTGCAGTCATGTTTCAAGCACACTGCAGTAGCGGCAGCGGCGGTAGTCGCGCAGGGATTTGGATTTCCGGACACGATTCGTTCAAATCCTCGTCTCAGTCCGCCTCGCCCCTGCATAGAACAAACCCTGCCGGATTCGACTGGGAAAATTTCTGGCGTGACTCTCGGCATCCTCTAGGTTATCAGCCGTGCGCGGCTGAAGCGTTTCGCGCTAGGTCGCAGTCACCAGCCGACGATGAAAAGGCCGTCGCAGACGTCGCTAGACCCGTTAGTGCATATCAAGGCTCTGGGACGATTCTCTGGAGCTCTTTTGCGAATGTCACTAAAGGTTGAGAACCCGAAAAGGAGACGCAGCGTGACGGGACGATAGGAGTCGTGCGTGAGCGAGAAGGGGTCGTCCCTTGCGACGCTAGCCGTGGTAGTAAGGAGCGGGTCGCCTTATCGCGACACCCCTCTGAACCGACCGCTGACGATATGTTTTCTGTACGCGGGAAGGCTCTCGGGTGTGGTTTTGACGAGGCTTACCTGACGGCAGTACAGAAGAAGTGTTCAGCTGTTGGCGACGATCATGATTCGTTGTTCGACATAACTAGGGATTTCGCATCGTTCCTCGGAGGAGAGGGAAGTCCGCCGGTGTCAGGGTGCGGTCGGGGGGGGTGAGAGTGCTAGTCGGAGGCGGAGATGACGTGGCAGTAGCGGTAGCGGGGGAAGTGGAGGGGGAAGCGGAGGCGGAGTTGTTTCCATGCGGGGCTGAGCATGCGGGCGTTGTTGGGCTTGGGGGTCGAAGTGCGAGCCAGCGACGAGAATCTGGTGGTAACAATGGTGGCTGGCGAAACGGATTTGATGCTTCGCATCGGGATGAGATGTGGGCCGACATGCTCTTGCAGGAACTCGAACAAGCCTCTGCCAACCAGCCGGTTACGTTGTCGGTCGGCGGCAAGTCGAACGGCGAGAGCGCGACGCGCCGACAATCGACGGAAGCGGCGTCTCGAGAAGCACAGTCTCCGACGCGCGGCGGCCCTCGATCTTTAGGGTTGGGGGAAAGCATCAGCGGAAGCGGGCGCAAGAGAGAGCAGGCGGAGCGGAGTCCGCTTGACGGCTTGCAGTTGGGGGCGGGGGGAGGGGGTTGCGGCGGTCAGGGCTTTCCGTTTTCTTCTGTCGGCAATCCCGAGGGTCATCAGAGGCGGCAGGAGACGAACCCTGGGGGATGCGCGGATGGGGTGACTGCACGCAATGTGACTATAGGCGTGGGCAGTCGAGGAGACGGTCAGTACGTTGGGAGGAGTTCCCTCGGGGGGGAGGATGCTAGGGGTGTGATTGAAACGAGACCGTTAGGATTCGTGCGGGAGGAGAAGGAGAAGGAATCGTCGAAGGGCGATGAGCGCGAGAGTGAGAGGGAGGGAGACGAGGCGGTACGGGACGGGATTGATGGCGGAAGAAGGGGAGGATGGGAGGGGTGGGAGAAGATGGTGGGGGCGGGAGACGAGATTTGCGCGCACGATCAGCAGCAGCAGCCGCATCGGGATTTTGAGACGTCTCAGAACCACAAACAGCAGCAGCAGCAGCAGCAACAGCAGCAGCCGCCATCGCAGAACATATTTGGCGGCGACGCGCATCGGCCTGTGGAGTATCGAGTCACGGCGTGCGAGGAGGGGCGCCGCCCGCCCGCGTGGAAGCCGGCGGGTTCCGCGGGGCACTTAAAGCCCGACGACGACCTCACTCTTAAAGCGTTCCTCAAGGGCGGCAAAAGGCGCCACGGGGGTGCGGTGCGCGGCGCGCAGACGTGGCAGGCGGACAAGATTGCGGACGCGTGGCGGGTGGCGGAGGGGCTTGCGGAACTGGAGCGCGTGCGGCGGGAGCAGGCGGGTCGGGGCGCGCATCCCCCTTCCGGTTCTGCAAATGCCCCCCGCGTTATCACTACTGCGACGGCTGTAACCGCCACACCGGCAGCGGCTGGTGCCATTCAGCGTTTTTCTGCTGCGGACGGCCCCGCCGCCGACTTCTCCCCTTACGCCAGTGGAGGCGCCGCCGTGAAGGGCAATGGCGCGCCAGGGGGTGGGATCGCGCGGAGCGACAGCGCGCGGAAGGGCAAAGCGGCGGTTGCGGACGAGCCTTGCGGGTTTGACCGGTGCGCTAGTAGCGATTGTACTGGCGGATCGTCGCAAGGGGAGAGCTCAAGGTCGCGCGGAGGGGGAAGGGCGCGCGGGGAGGGGAAGAGGCGGAAGGGTTCGCGGCTTTCGGGCGGAGGGGAGCGGAAGGGGAAGGTGAAGACTGCTGGTGCTGCTGCAGGCGATGCCGCTATTGGTGCTGACGTTACCGCTTCGATCGATTTGAGCACGGGGGGAAAGGCGTCCGCACAAGGCGCTAAAAGCGGAGGGGGGAAGGAGAAGCGCGGAGTAGATGCGCGCGCTGACGTGGCAGGAAAGGGCGCGGCGCAGCAGAACGAGAAGGCGAAGCAGATGGAGCGGAACCTCAAGGTAGCTTCCGCGCAGCTTCTCGCCCTGCAGAAATGGGACGAGGGGACAAGAGACCTAGCGGTGCGGTGGGCCGTATGGCTCTTGAGGCTCATCCGCAAGTCCGCCCCCACGCCACCCCCGCCCTCGATCCGCCTCCTCCTCTTCTCCTCCATCCTCATGACTCTTCCCCGGATATCCGACTCCCTCCTCCCCCTCACTGCCCTCCCCGGCCTCGCCTGCTCCCCAGCGTCAGCCTCGGCAGCAGGCTCGGTGAAAGGCGCGGCGGGAGGTTCGGTGGCCGAGGCGGTGAGGCAGATGCTGCGGAGCGTGTGTGCGCTGGTGGGGGCGGTGGGGAGGAGTCAGGTGTGCTTCTCCCCCCTGCACTGGGAGATTCTACAGGAGCCGTTGGATCGGTGCAGATCGCTCCATGCTTCTGTCTCCAGAGCTACTGCTTATGCCAATCCCACACCCAGCACCACCGCTGCTGCTGCTGCGACGGCGGCGGCGGCGGCAGCGGCACCTGCTACAGCTGTGAAACCTGCTGCTGCTATTGATGTTTCCACTGCTCCTGCAGCCGCTACAGCTCCTGCGGTGGCAGCAGCAACAGCAGCAGCGTCAGAAGCTGCTGGCGCCATGGCTCCTGTGGCTGTGCAGCAGAGCCCAAAGCAGGGGCTCAAGAGGGGCCGGAGTGACACCTGCGCTCATCTCCCTCTTGACTCTTTTTCTCTGGTTGCTGCTGCTGCTGCTTGCGGTGGCAATGCTGCCGCGGCTGCTGATGCTGCTCCCTCGACGACTGGCGCTGCTGTCATTGCTGCGCCAATCACTGCAGCAGGCGCAGACACAGCAGTGAGCGAGCCTGCAAAGCGCGCCAAGGGGGATCACTGTGTGGCCAGGCAAGAGGCACCTGTGACAGCGTTGCAGGGGGCGTGTGCAGCAGCAGGTGGAGTGCCAGAACCAGTGGGCGCAGCCCTGCCTGCAGCAGCAATACTGCCAGCAGCAACAGCAGCAGCAACAGCAGTGCCGCCGCCAGTGGCAGCAGCAGCAGCAGCAGGGGTTGAGGCTGCGAGCCCGCGTGTGCAGTCGTCTCCATCGTTCCGCAAGGGACTGTTGAGCTTCAAGTCGTGGGCTGCAAAGAAAACACAAAGAGCAGAGGAGCAGAAGGGTGATCATGCCTCCGCTGCTCCTCCGCCTGTTGTTCCTGCTCCTGCTCCTGCTCCTGCTCCTGCTCCTGCTCCTGCTCCCGCTCCTGCTCCTCCTTCTCCTGCCGTTACCCCATCGTCTACCTTCGTGTCTTCACAGCATCATGGTCTGGACCTCGCTCTTTCTGCACCCCCAGAAGCATCTGCTGTTCCTGCTCCTCTTCCTGCTTCCGTTAACCCGCTCGCACACCAACCAGCGCCGCCCCTGAACGCGCACTCGCACAGGGCGTTTGGGTCGGCGCAGCGGCGGCGGCAGAGGGCGGTGGAGCAGCAGGCCAAGGAGCTCTGCAGCGGCCTCTTCTCCCCGTACGGGCGGCAGGCCGTGTCTGGTAGCGGCGCCAGTAGCAAGCGGTCGGACGGTCCTGCCCCTCCTCTTCCTACCCCTCATGTTATTGCCGCCGCCGCCACCGCCTCCGCTGCTGCTGCTGCTTCTCCCTCTCCTAGTGCATCTGCCTCAGCAGCAGCAGCAGCGGCGGCGAGCAGTGGTCGCACGCATAAAGCCACACCAGCACCCAAGGAAGCGTCAGGCCATAAGAGCACATCAGCCCGTGCAGGCACGTCAGCCCGTGCAGGCGCAGCAGCCCATGCAGGCACGTCGGTGTGGCTGGGAACCCCTCTGGCCGCTGGCATGGGGGCAAAGATCGCCGTGGGCGGGAGGGGCAGCGCTAGTGCCGTTTACCGCGAGCTGTCCTCCCGCTGTGGGTCCTCTGGGGGGTGGAAGAGCGGAGGGGAGGGGAGTGTGGGAGAGGAGGGGATGGAGGAGGGGGAGAGTGTGAGGGAGGGATCGGTGGGTGGTGGAGTGGGGAAGGGAGTGAGGGAGGGCGAGGCAGGGGGGTATGCGGAGTGGAGTGCCAGGAATGTGGCTCAGACCGAGGCGAGTTCCGTGCCTTACTTCTGGTCCGGGGTTTACCGAACCTGCAGCTCGGGTTTGGCTGGTAGTGTTGGGCTGAGGGCTTGGCAGAAGGGCAGGGTGGATACAGCGACTATGGTGAGGCCTTTTAAGGCTGCTGATGCTGCCGCTGCCACTGTTGCTGCTGCTGCTGTTACTGCTGCTGCTGCTGCTGCTGCTGTCGGCAGTGTTGCTGCCGCAGCTGCTTCTGCTGATGCCCCATCATCCCCTCCTGTTACTGCCGCAGCTGCATCAGCAGCAGTAGCAGCAGCAGCAGCAGCAGCAGCAGCAGCAGCAGCAGCAGCTGGAAATGCCAAGGATGGTGATTGCAGCATTGGTGCCGGCGCCACTGTCGGTGTGACAGCAGCCTATGGGAGCAGCAGCGCAGGGCAAGGCACAGAGATCAAGACTGAGATGGACGTGAACGGCTGTGATGATGCCACAGCCACAGCCAATGGCGAAGAGGCATGGGAGGGGGCCTTGGATCCCGCTGTAGCAGCCAAGGTCGCCTCTCTCTCGTCCCTCTTCTCTTGCTATTCTTCGCCCCCACTCTCTCCCTCCCTCTCTCCCTCCCCCTCCCCTTTCCCCTCCCCCGTTCCCAAGTTCGGGCTGGCCCGCCCTTCTTTGTCTGCCTGTGCGGGTCCCAGCCCCCAGCAGTACCACCCGCACCAGCAGCACAGGCGAGGGAGACGAGGGGTGCAGATGCAGGAGGGATGGCAGCAGCAGTGGCAGCAGCAGCACGGGTCACTTGGACCGCAGTGGCAGCAGCAGCAGGGATGGCTGAAGCAGCAGCAGCAAGGATCAGGGGGGCGGCAGCAGTGGAGAAGCATGTCTGCTGCTCCGCTGGGGCGGATAGACGAGCGCAGGCAGGAGGAGGAAGAGGAGGAGCAACAGCTGCAGCAGGAGGAGGAGCAGAAGGAGCAGCAAGAGCAGCCGCAGGAGGTCGAGCAGCAAGGGTGGGAACTGGAAAGCCAGAATCAGCACCCTGCCGGAAAGGAGCCGTTGGGATCAGTGCATGCCGCTTCTGTAGCAGGTGCTGCGACAGGGGCAGGGACAATGGGAACGGTGGGTGGAGATACAGTGGGGAGTGCGTACACATACACATACACGTACACACATACTGGGTGCACATCGGGCAGCACATGGATGCAGGAGGGTGGTGAGGGCCCGCACATGGTGTCGCGACCACGGTCCAGGAGAAAAAAGATGGCCAAGCGCGAGTGAGAGATGTGTGGGGCGTGGAGCATGTGCCTAGGATTGCAGATTTCTGGTCAAAGATGCAACAGAAAGCATGGCGTTGCGGCAGAGATTTAGGAGAGAGGTGGTAGCTATGCTGTTGGTGCGTGGGTTGAGTATTGTACGTGATTTCACAGTGCACCTTTGATTCTTTCATTGCCCCGTGGCTCAAAGCACAGAGGCTCTAGCAGGCTTTGGTTAGAATGGTTTTGTAGCTCATAAAAGCTGCACTGCTCTTATTTATAGGTAAAAGGGAACATCATTTCCTACATTTTACCTGTACGTGTAAGTGAGAGGCGTTGTTATGTGGCCATGAGACGGCTTAGTTGAGGTGCAGCATTGGAGCACCAAGAGACTTCAGGAATCAGATGTTATGCTTAGATGTAGCACGATATGGCATGATGTGAAATCATGGTGTCCCACTGGCATTTCTGTAGTCTGGATTCATTGCTACAGTAGCAAAACATCTACACTTAGCTAGAACTGACTAGTGCCAGACGGGACCGCAAACTACCATCCTAAAACCTACCGTAGCACAGAAGCTAGTTGCACATATGGTACTTGGTTCCATCCTAGACATGCAATGACTACTGTGTGGGGGCTTTAAGTACTAACTGTTGGAAACTCAGGCCCTCAGATTCACTTTTAGGCACGTAAGGGTATCAAGGTCCCTCTGCCCCTAGACCCTGATCGTCAGGGTCGCCTAAAAAAAAAGCCTGAAAGTTCAGTGTTACTTAAAAAAAAAGTCTGATGCATCAGTGTTCCCTACAGAAAAAGGCTGATACTAGTAGTCTTTATTTTACTAGTAGTAAAAACACTAGGAAGGAAGCAAACAGCAGAACGGGATGTGAGGCTGGATAGCAGGTAGCACGGCTGGGAGGCGTGGATGCATCAGTGCTTGCCAGCACGACCTAGACCGCCAGAATCCCTCGCAGCGCAGCCTGCCAGCATCTCTGTGCTGCAACCTTGTAATTGGTCAAGTCACATAATGTTGCAAATGTGGCCAATGAACGGACCAGGCGCGCCAACTAAGGGGCCATCAGTGTGGGCAAAATTGTCCGATAGTCAACGACAGGCCCTGCTGACACCGCGGGAATCTGATTTTCTTAGTACTTCCGGTCAAGTACACTCGTTACTCGTACCTAGTAGGATTCGCTTTCAGGGTCAAACTCATTACAATGTAAAGGCATCAGTGTCACTTCAAAAAAATTGCTGAAAGTTCAGAGTCATGTGGCATGTGAAGGCTGAAAAATCAGCCCTAGGAACAGCTGAACACTGGATTTTCAGGGTAGGTAAAAAAAAAAACCCTGAAAATCAGGAATTTCAGGGTAAAATTCCTGATATCGTAGGGCCTGACTTCAACGCTTCTGAAGTATCGAACTATCGACACGAGTCGAAGCAGACTACAGTGAAGCAACACGAGTCAACAGAAGCAACCGCTGGAGGTTACGCGAAGGTCAAAGGTCGCTGACCTTTGACTTGACGAAAAATACAGTGCGACAGCAAGGACACATAACTGACTCGATACTGAGCAGTTACCCGAGTCGGCACTGTATCGAATCGCAACAGCAGAAAAACAGTTAAAGTATAACTTTTCGTATTCCTTTGTAATAATATAAAACCTTGTATTTCTCTGTTATGATCAACTTATCTTGTTCTCACACACTAGTGCAAGGTGGTTCAAACAACTCTGATATTACAACGCTTCCGCAATTACAACATCCCTACTTCAACACTTGATCTTAGCCTTGAAAGATCCTCAGTGCTTTTCTCAGCCCAACACTAACAACATACTGGTACCATCTCCAGACATCACGGCTTGCGGTGATAACAGTCTTCCCTCCTTGCAAACGTAACCAAATCAGCATCGCACACTCCAGCTTGCAGCGCACGCACAAGCGCACGAGCCACCACTTGATTCGCTGCTTCCGATGGATGCAAAAAGTCCCAAAAGGCGCGCGATTGGCTGTCACCACACAGGGTCGCAGGCGTGGATGATTGCGTGCCGTTGGATATGAAGATCGACGTTCCACGTTGCACGAGACCGTTGATTGGAGGAGGGCCACCGCAACAGGCATATGTTCCCACACGCATCCCATAATCCCGAGGCTTCTTCACAATAGTTTGCATAAGCGCATGGGTCCGTGCATACACTGTCAGAGGTCCACTGGAGATCTCCGATTGATCATAAGAGAGGGTTACAGGCTCGTTGTCCTGGGGGGTTATGGGCGCACTGACCCGCTACTTAACAAGCGCTTTTATCCCAATGGTCTAGTGGTTGGGATTCTGACATGGTATCAAAGCGAAGGTCTCGGGTTTGAATCCCAGTGTGTGCACTTCGGGCATCCCAGTGCGGGGGGATGTCAGAGGTCCACTGGAAATCCCCGATTGATCATAAGAGGGGGTTACAAGCTCGTTGTCCTGGGGGCTTACGGGCGCACTGACCCGCTACTTAACAAGCCTTTTTATCACAATGGTCTAGTGGTTGGAATTTTGACATACACTACTGTAGCATTCTCAAGCCGATCTCTCAAACCATTTAATGCGAAAGCAAGAGCAGCGCTGTGCCCTGCTGTAAGCTGATTCACTGCAGGATTGCAGGTCAAAGGCGCGGGTTTATTGGATGGTTGGCTGAGAGACTCAGCAAGGGTGGCGAGAGCAATGGGGGTGCACCCGAGAGGCAAGGTGTAAAAAAGGAGGAAATGGCGGAAGCCTGAGGCATAGAGGGTCTGGTCACACGGGGTAGGGGGGAGGGGGAAGAGGGGGGTGGGGTGGAGAAAAGGGGAGGGGGAGCAGAAGTTGAAGATGGGTTAACTTGCTGGCAACGTAAAAGGCCGAGAAAAGGGTTACCGATCCCTGCAACAGCAGTCAAGCCCATCAACCACTCAAAACTCTCCTAAAGCTCCCCCCTCTTTGCCCTCAATCAACCCCCCCCATCCCAACCCCAAACCTGTATACTCGACCAAACAAACCAGCAGGACCGCTCCATACGCAAGACCCCCGGGGCAATCACCCGAACAGTTATGTTCAATCATTTTAGAGATTTCAACACGGCGCCCTCACCCGAACAGTGTTTACAATCCCGCCGATCACAGCAGCAATGAGGCTCTACGCCTGTGAGCTGCCCCCGCGGGCAAAGGACACGAGGTAGTCGTTTGTCGCCACCGAGATGACCGCTAGCGCCGGTCTTGAGGGCTGCTCGCGGCACGGAGGGTGGGGGTGCGCGAAGAGGGAAGAGTGGGGAGAGGCGTTGCAAGAATGAATAAGGACGGTGAATGGAGTATATAGAGAAAAAAATAGGAAGCCTCGAATTTCTCTGTGTGAAACGCTGGCCAGGAACTGATGCAAGGCACCTAACTGCTTCGATTCGAAGTTACTTATAGGGGGCAGCGATGTGTCTCACCTGGGCTGGGGTATGCAGTCTCATACACTCTCATACACTCTCATACACTCTCATACACTCTCATACACTCTCATACACTCGCATACACTCTCATACACTCTCATGCACTCTCATACACTCTCATACACTCTCATACACTCTCATACACTCTCATACACTCTCATACACTCTCATGCACTCTCTCATGCGTAGGCTCTTCAAACAAAGGCAAGGAGGCACTCACCTTGGCTGATTTCTTCTTAGAAACTTTTCCATAGGGATTCTGTAGGCCGCCAAGCTCTGAAAACCGTGCGAGCTGCGCGGAGAGAGGGAAGACCTGCATGGAGGGGCATGGAGGGGCATAGCAGGGCATGAAGGGGCATGGCAGGGCATGGAGGGGCATGGCAGGGCATGAAGGGGCATGGCAGGGCATGGAGGGGCATGACGGGGCATGGAGGGATGGGTGGGCGCAACGGTCATAAGATCCTTTGGTACGAAGTAGGGCTCATTATATCCTTTGCCGTTCCTCAGTGGATTCTCAAGAGGACTTGAAAGCAAAGAGTGCGGAATTCATGGGAGCGTATTTTTCCGGCTTTGCAACCATTTGTGGTTAAAGGAGTCGCAACTAGCTGGTTCTTACGCACTCGTGTCTGGCACTTAGTCCCAATGCTTGTGTGTCATCTGCCCTGCATTCAGCACCACCTGCCCCCCATTTAAATCCCACCTGCCCGCAATCAGATCCCACCCACCTGCCCCGCATTCGTGGTGTCCAGCACACCCGCCCCTGAGCTGGCGAAGTTGAGTCCACTCTCACGCGCTCACTCTCGCGCACTCTCACGCGCATTCTCTCTCTCACATGCCTTCTCACGCACTCTCTCACACGCACTCTCACACGTACTCTCACTCTCTCTCACACATTCTCTCATACGTAACCTCACACGTGCTCTCTCACACACTCTCTCATGCGCTCTCTCATGCGCACCCTCACAAGCTCCCTCACGCACTCCCTCGCGCGCTCTCTCATGCCTCTCTCATGCGCTATCTCACACGCTCTCTCACGCGCTCTCACGTGCACACTCACGCGCTCTCTCACACGCTCTCACACGCACTCTCACACGCGCTCTCTCACGCGCTGTCTCACGCGCTCTCTCACGCGCTCTCTCACGCGCTCTCTCACGCCCTCTCTCATGCACACCCTCACGCGCTCCCTCACGCGCTTGTCAAAATGTTATAATGCTTATATTGTGTAGGCTGTAGTGGAGAAAACAAGTGCATGGCAAACACAAACAGTACGCCCCTAAATACGTCGAGGGTTTCTATCACTTACACAGATAGTCAATGACGAGTTTCCCATCGCTGAATCTACCACTAGCGAGGATGAAATTCATCCCATACGGAGGGAAATTCGCGCGGTAAAAGAGCGGCCCGCCATAGTTGTTGTTGCCAACGTCAGCAAGCGAATCGCCAAACGTGTAGATCGCACCGAACTTGCGGTCAGGGCGCGCTAGCGCGCAAATGCGCCCCCCCCGCTTAGCAGCGCCTGGGGCTGATGCGCTTGCGCCAGCCAGCCCTCGTCCCCTCAGGCCGTGTTGCGTGTGTTGGAGGT